GGACTTGAACTTGTGGGAGAACATGAGGATGGCACAGGAAAGGGCAAGGGTCAGATCTGTTTGTTGTTCATAGTGTCTCTATGAGATGTAGGGGACTTGATGAAACCTAACAACAAAAGCATCATTGTGTAAATATTTCTGTAAGCTGTTTCATGTCCTTTTGGGAACAAGGGGGGTTACAAATGATAAACATCAATGCTCTAATATACCACTCATGCTTCTTAGAAATACTGAGAGCAGAAATAGCCTACCAAAAGTACACATGATTATTACCTGGGGTGGGGGGAGTGCTTACAGTTTATAAATGAACCAATAGCCTCTTCATCTTGCAAGTCAGAATACAGAACAGCATCACACTGGTCTTTCTATCTGCATTTTCAAAGTTAAACAGCAAACCCTAGGCCACAAGGACATCAGTCAGAATTGGGAAATGGATCACATCTTCACCATGTCTCTCAAGATAGCCAAGAAGATGGAACGGTCATTTTTCAATCCTAGTCCATTCATTGAGCACTTTGTCAGGCACTGACACTGGTAACCTTGTTCTGAGAGTCTACTCCTGCCTTTATTAAACTCTCAGGCTATGGAGAAGATTATGTGGGCCAGTCACACCCCCACTCACCTTGGTTGTTAGAAAGAACAAACAATGCAATGAATGGAAAGTCCTTGAAAAATGCTGAAGTTAGGACCAAAAAGCTTAAAAGCACTTTACCATCCATAAACTCCCCCACAGCCCCCAAACTGTTAAATATTTATTTTAGAATCCTAGACTTGTTTGTGCATTTTGAAATGAGTGGTTGAAGGAAGAACAGCCATTTATAGATCTATTTTTATAAGCAAAACTTATATCTAGGGAAACAAGAATTATAGTCTCTATTCAGTTCTCTCTGTCCTTGGGAAAACTTTCTCTTTCAATCCACAAAGGTCATACATGCTTAGGTACCAGAGAACCTTGAAATTGTTGGAAATGCATTCTGGCAATCAAAATCTGCAAAATCATGCCAGTGAGCACAATTTTATAATGTTTGTCACAGCTGTCAATGCTTTTTCTTTATGCCATCACTTTTTCTGAACATCCATTGCTATAACAATAACTCAGAACATTGTCTTACTTGAATTTGATTTAAGGAGTCAATTGTCATTCAACAAATAAATAAACAGAAGTCTGCAACCATATGCCTTTTCTTTACCCATCTGTAAAAATAACAATAATATCATTAAATTAAAAAAATACACACATTTCCTTTGAGTTGATTCTAACTTATGGTAATCCTATGTCTGAATACATACAGATCTAGTCAGTGCTCCATAGTGTTTTCAATAATTTCAATCTTTCAGAAATATACTTCTAGACCTTTTTCTGAGGTATTCAGAAAAAGATAAGTCAAATTCACTGATAGAGTGTTCTGACGAATAGCACTCTCCCTTTGGTATCTGAAGCTATATGTCTTAATGGGAAGTTGTTGTTAGGTGCTGTCAAGTTGAATATGACCCATAGGGACCCTGTGAACAACAGATCTGAGTCCTGTCCTACCCTGTGCTATCATCACAACCTCTGACACACTCAAGCCCATTGCTGGAGTCACTGTGTCAATCCACCTGGTTGAGGGTGTTCCTCTCACTCTCTCCTTTGTCATTCCCTGTTGTCTTTCCAAGCATGATGTCCCTCTTCAAGAAGTAACTTCTAGCTACATGCTCTAAGTACGTGAGACAAAGGCTGGCCATCTTTGCCTCCAAGGAGCACTCTGGCTGCACCTTCTCCAAGACATATATGTTCTTCTTTGGTAATTTTATGGGAAATTCATTCCTCTTCTCTAACACCACAATTCAAAGCCATCAATTTTTCTCTTGTCGTCCTTATTCACTGTCCAACTCTCACCTAAATAGTGATTGAAAAGATCATAGCCTTGAATCTAAGGCACCATCCTCCTCAAACTGACAAGTCCCTGATTACAGACTTCCCTAACAAGATATCTGCTGGTATGAAGTGTACTGATTGTGGATCCAAGTAAGGTGAAGTTGACAGTATCAATCTTTTCTCCATGTATTATGATGTCACCTATTGGTTCAGTGGTGAGAATTTTTGTTTTGTTGATATTGAGATGCAATCCATATTGAACTTGGAGTAAGGTAGTTGAGAGGAGGCTCCCCATGTTTCTTCCACGGATCTACTATGAGATTTGAAGCACTTGAAATGTGTGATCTTGTGGTTGGTGGTACAACAGAATCATGAACCAGTACACATAGTGACCCAGTGATTGGGGCAATGAAGGTTGGTGTGTCAGAGAAAATGAAGTTGGCTCAAGGTTGAGCTGGGTTCAGAGCTGTTGTACATAGGGTTGCTATGAGTTGCAGTTGCCCCAACAGCACATAAAAACAACATATATAATCTAGGGAGCTCTAATGGCCTAGTGGCAAGAAGCTGCACTGCAATCCTGAAGGCAGTGGTTCGAATCCACCAGCTTCTCTGCAAGAGAAGGATGAGCAATGTCCTGCATGATTTACTTCCTCTGCAGGTCCACTTGAAGGTCAGCTACGGATGGGTTCCAACTTGACTGCACACAACAACAACAACATACAACAACAACGACATGCATACATAGTCTAGGAAGCTCAGGTGACCCATTGGTAAGAAGTTGCGTTACAATCTCGAAGGCACACAGCTTGAATCCACCAGCAGTTCCGTGGCCGAAAGATGGCCAATCTCCTCCCATGCAATTAACTGTCTCTGAAAACACGCTGGAGGGTCAGCTATGGGTTGGTTCCAACTCGACAACACTCAATAACAACAACACATAGTCTGGTGACTACACCACCAGAGCCACTGCGTGACTTCAGATCACCAACCTTTCAGTTCGTAGAAGAACTCCTTACACCAGTTACTGTCGAGTCAATTCTGACTCTTATTAACTTCAGGCACGTCAGAGTACAGCTCTGCTCTGTTTCATTGGTGGCTGGTTTTTTAAAATTATTACTGTTATTAATTTTAATGAAAATGTACAGAGATTTGGATTTCCATTCACTCATTGTTGCACTTTTCTCCCTGCTCACCCCTCCCCCCCCCAGTTCACTCTTTTCTTTGAAAAGTAAAAGAAAAATACTTTCATTGTTTTACAATCCCTCCCCCCAGCTCCACTCCTATGCAGCCTTCATTCTGGACTCCTGTCATGACAAAAATACCTAATCACATATCCCTTTTAAACAGTTCTCTCCCTCATCTGTTTCAATGCAGTATACATTATTTATCCAGTCTTACTCAGTCTCCCTCCAACCCTAATGTCAGTCCTGTTTTACTACAGTGGCACTATGCAGTATTTGTTCTTTAGTCACTGAGTTATTTCACTCAGCATAATGTCCTCCAGGGTCACCCATTTTGAATAATATTTCATGAGTTCCTTGTCTTCCAATGCAGCATAGTATTCCATTGTGTGAATATACCACAGCTTCTCTATCCATTCGTTTGTTGATGGGCATGTAGGTTGTTTCCAATTCTTTGCTATTGTGAACAAAGCTGCGACTAACATGGGTGTGCATATATTTGCCTGGGCGGCAGTTATGAGGGGTATATTCCCAGTAGTGGAATTGCTAGGTCAAATGGTATTTCTATCTGCAACTTTATAAGAAAGTGCCACACTGCCTTCCATGGTGGTTGCACATTTTACACTTTGAGCAACAGTGAATAAGGGTTCCAGTTTCTGCACAACCTCACCAGCATTTGTTGTTCGCTGTACTGTTAAATTTTGCTCTTCTTAATGGAGTGAGATGATATCTCATAGTCATTGCGATTTTCCTCTCTCTTAGAGAGAAGGATTTTGAGCATTTCTTCATGTGTTTGCTGGCCATCTGACTGTCTTCTTTAGCGAAGTGTCTGTTCATATCTTGTGCCCATTTTTCAATTGGATTGTTTACCTTTATCTTGTTGTGGTGCTCAAGTATTTTATAAATTTTAGATATAAGCCCCTTATCTGACATGTCATTATGATGGCTGAATTTTTGCAAATAAATCTTCAGACCTTTTTCTCAGAAGTCTCATGGCTCCTGATAATATATGATTTTTAAAATTGATTCCTATGGGTCACTATCCTCTTGAGACTTTCCACTTTGTTTTGTCTTACAGAAAACTGGGAAGATTTTTCTTCCATTTAAAAGATGACCTTGGAAAGAATGAGAATCATAGGTTCTTGGACTAAGAGAAATTAAAGAAGGGAAGGATGAGAATATTGCACTAGGAAGAAAGATGAGAGACCATCGTCCAAGGGCAGTTTGGGGATATCAAAGGCCAAACATCACCCACCACAGGATTTTGATTGGTTTCTGAAGACCCTCATTCTCATCCGCATTAAAACTCTGACTCCTCCACAGAGAGGTTTCTTTCAGCCTTTGGATCAGTAGATTTATATTCTTATAAATAACTGAAGTTATAGAAAGATATTGATTCTAGCTTCATATTATGAAATAGAAAAAAATCAGCAAGAGCATCAAGTACAAAATCTCTAACATATTCATTTTTAACAGACCAAAGAGAAGAATCAGAGATAACCATAGCAACAATGAGACATACAAGCCATCAACTTTACAAAACAGATAAACCCGAAGAAGCTGATTACAGGAGAGGGAATACGATCATTATCCTTTGTTATAGAGATTCTAGTTTTGTATCTTTTCTGTGAATATAATAACTAGTTTTAAAAAATAATAAAATAATAATAAAAAATAGGCATTTAAGGTTGCAGAATGGAATGTCCTTGTGGCAGTAGGAGGGGTGCGGGGGGATTGTGTACCAGGGAGGGAGCCTTTCTTTTACTTTTGAAAGAGAGGAGTGAACTGGGGGGCGGGGGGAGAGGGCTGGGTGGGTAGAGAAGTGCAGCAATGAATGAATGGAGATCCAAATTCTCTGTAAATGTTCATTAAAATTATTAAAAAATAACCATGTAGAGTATCTTGCATGATTTTCCATCTTCTCAAAGACTTACAAACTTTATTGGGCTTATAGAAGGGACATGAAAATTGGCCGCTTAAAATGGATTTTCTCAGCTAAACAAAAAGCTTGCAGTTATAAGTTAAGGATTCAGTTTAGTAATCCAATCATTTCTGCACTTCAGCTCCCTTACACGATCAAGGAATACAGGGGTAACAAGCGTTACGCAAAGACCTGCCTGAAGAGAAATCGTAAACATCAAGTTCTTGAAGGTGAGTCAACCTTCCATCTTCTAAATAGGGGCACGTCTTGCTCACTTAACCTTGTCTTTTGAAATCTTTTACTATATTCAGCTGGCTCTTCTCACCTCTTGCCAGAAATTATTCCCAACTCACCATTTCATGTGTAGTTTCTTCTCTCTAAACATTGGCCATAAACACAGCCCACACACTGGAAGGGAGCGTTCATTCCACCATCATTTGAGTTGTGAGGACTACAAAAGCATGGAATGAGGACCCTCAATAAACGAGCAAAGAAGAACTCGAAATACTTTCACTCTTCCCAGTGCCACCCCCCTTCCTCTCTCGGTTTGGTTTGCGTTTCTCTCCCTCCTAGTTGTCTACAAAAGTATATCTTATAATACAGCCAAAACACTCTCTCAGCCTTAGAATCTTGGTGAAATCATATAGTCTACTTAAAACGGGAGGTTTCCATAGACTCTGGCGTGGTAAAGAAACCCTGGTAGTGCTGTGGATGAAGCATTGAGCTACTAAGCAGAATGACGGCAGTTTGGTTCCGTTTCTAGCTAGAAATCCTAAGGGATAATTCTGCCCAGTCAGAATTAGCGGTTCAATGTTGATCTATTTGGAATAGGAAAGCATGATGAACGTGGAACAGAGATATATGAGTTTCTAATTTTCTTGGCTACATGAGAAAGGATGAAAGTCACACAAGTAAGTGTTGAGCACTTTCGTTCATAGAGTCGCTGTGAGTCGCCTACGACTGGACAGCACTGAATAACAACAACATGTAAGGTAATTGCCTCATGTTTTAACAAGGAGAAGAATGTATGAAAATTTGTCTTTAACTAGCATTTCTAGAAACGAGGTGTCAGCAGCACCCACTTCAGTTGTTATTGTTAGATGAGACTTTTGCAGAGGACTTTTCCTGACAAGATCTTAATTTTAAGGTGATCTTGAGGTGCCCTGATAAGATAAAAAAATCAAACATCACAGCTCCCTTCTTTTAGTGATGGATTCTATTGTTTATTATGAAATACAGGTCATTATATAATTTGGACCTTTGATGATCATGGTAAAGAGCTGTGCTACCAACTCAAAGGCAGGTGGTTCAAACTCACCAGCGGCTCCTCAGGAGAAAGATGGGAAATCTCCTCTCATACCATTTACAACTTCGGGAAACACACTGGAGGGTCAGCTATGGTCAGTTCTGGCTAGAAGTCACATTACAACAACAATGACTGAGAGAGGGTTCTTACAAAGAGGAAATTTTATCCTATATAAAATTCTAAGAAGAGTGAGTATTTAGAGAGTCCCATGTGGTGTGGTTAGTACATAGACTGCTAACCAAAAGATTGGAAGTTCAAGTCTACCCAGGGGTATCTCAGAAGAAAGGTCTGGGGATCTGTTTATGAAAAATGCAGCCACTAAAAATGCTGTGGAGTACAGATGTAATCTGACACACATGAAGCCACCATCAGTTTTAGTCAACTCAATGGCCGCTGACATGGGTACCAGTCTGTATGGATTTTGTACTCTTAATTACCTTGATTTTGCAACACTGGAATATCACCACTATTGACTGTATGCTAATCGGGAAAAGAGAATAATGGCTGTCTCATAATTAACACATAATTTTCAGGATTTGAAAATATTCCTTTTATTTCTCTTATGTAGAATGTAATCATGGTGGACAGTATTTGGTGGAGCTCCCCGATTAAAACAAGCTTGGAAACAAGCTTCCAAAACAGCTTGCCTCTGGAAACCCTATGAACTCAGAGAAATGATGAAAGTTACGCAAGTGTTCAGGTCTTTTGTTCACAAGGTCTCTATTAGTTGTCTGTGACTTGACAGCACTTAACAACAACTATAACAACAACAACAACAACAACAATGAGAGAGCTCTGTTGGCCTACTGGGCAGAAAGTGATGCTAACAAGCCAAAAGTAGGTGTTTTTTAACTTGTGGCCCTCAGGCTTAGTTTTACTTGTTTTTGGTCAAACATTCTTCAAAGTGGCAAAGCACTGGTCTGTCCATTTGCTGTACAGAGGTAACTCGTGGTTGCTGTGATGCTAAACACTGTGACACTGATGTATCAAATGCAACAATGGTTACCCATGGTGGACAGTGTTTGGTGGGGTTTGGAAGCATGAGTGACATCCATTTCCAAAATAGCTTGCCTCCAGAAACCCTAAGAACTCGAAGAAATGATGAAAGTTATACTAGTGTTCAGGTCTTTCATTCACAGGGTTGCTATGAGTGGTCTATGACTCGATGGCACTTAAAACAACAACAACAATGTATAATGTTGTTGTTATGTGCCATCGAGTTGCCTGTGACTCCTAACAACCCTATGTATAGTAGCTCTGAAATCTGTTCTATCCTGAGCCAGTCTCACTTTATCCAACACACCTACCCCGATAACCCCAGTTACTGTGTCAATCCATCTCAGGGGATGTCTTCTACTGTGCTGTCCCTCTCCCCCTCATTTCAAGCATGATGTCCTTTCTCCAGGGACTGGTCTCTCCTTAGCCACTGCCCAAAGTTTCAAAATCCTTGCCTCCAAGTTGCTGCCTGATTTCACCTTCTCCAGGACAGATCTGATTTCACCTTCTCCAGAACAGATCTGTTTGTTCTCTTTGGAGTCCATGCTATGGTTAATATTTTTCTCCAGCACCACAACACAAAGGCATCAATTCTTCTGTCAACCCTAGTCACTGTCCAGCTCTCTGAAGCATAGCAAGTAATTGCAAAGAGCATGGCATGAATCAGGCATATCTTAGCCTCCAGACTTGGCATTGTTGCTCTTCAGCACTTTGGACAAGTGCTTCAGAGAGGTGCTGACAACAGCTTTCCCCAGAGCAACTCATCTTTTGATTTCTTGACTGCCGGTGGAAAGAGTGTTGATTGTGGAGCCGAGAAGGCTGAAATTATTAACAATCTCAGTCTCTTCTCTATGATGGAGCTGCCAATTTGCCTGGTGGTGAGACTCTTTGTTTTCTTGATGTTTAGCTTCAATCCACATCGAACACTACAAGCCTTGACCTTCTGCAGGAAACACTGCAGGTCCTCCTCAGTTTTGGCAAGCAAGGCTGTGTTATCTGCATTACATAGGTTTTTGATGAGTCTTCCTCTAATCCTGCTGCCACATTCCTCCTCATCAAGCTCAGCTTCCTGAATGATCTGTTCTGCATATAGATGGAAAAGGTATGGAGACAAGATGCATCCCTGATGCACTCCTTTCCTGATTTTGAACCATGCAGTGTTTCTTCGTTCTGCTCTGACGACTGTTTCCTGGTCCAAGTATATGTTTTGCAAAGGCAAAATCAAGCGTTATGAGATTCCCATTCTTCTCAAGGCGAATTGTTAGCCACAATTTGTTGTGATCCATAGAGTCAAATGCTTTTGCATAGTCAATGAAAATGAAACACAGATAGACATTCCTCTGGTACTCTTTGCTTTCAGTCAAGATCCATCTGACATTAGCTATAATGTCTCTGGTGCCATGACTTCTTCTAAACCAAGCCTGCATTTCTGTCAATGTACTGTTGCAGTCATTTTTGGATAATCTTCAGTAGGATTTTGCTTGTACATGATTTTTTTCGATAATTTCCACACTCTGTCAGGTCAACCTTTTTTTTTTGGAATAGAAACATATATAAATCTCTTCCAGTCAGTTGGTTGTCCTCCAGATTTCTTGGCATAACTTGGTGAGCATGTGCAGGGCAGCTCTGTCTGTTGAAATATGTTGATTGGTATGCCAGCAATTCCTAGGGTCTTGTATTTTGCCAAATCCTTCCAAGCAGCTTGCACTTCCTCCTTCTCCACCATAGGCTCTTGTTGATCTATGTTGTTTCATGAAATTCTTCTTTGTCAGCCAATTCTTTTGGGTACAGTGAGTTTATGTGTTCGTTTCATCCACTTTTAATTTTTCCTAGATCATTCAGTAAGTTGCCCACTTCATCCTTAAGTATAAGAACTTAAAGCTTGAATTTGTTCTTCAGTTCTTTCAGCCCAGTGCAGGGTGAGTTCAGTCCTTATGGTTTTCTGACTCCATTATAATACTTTTCTCTTTCTTCTCACATTGTTTTTTGAAATCTTCTATGTATAACATTCATAACTATAGCACAAGCCTTAAGAATAAAAAGACAATTGCTATTATTTGACATGTTGCAGCAAATGATAGGGGGAAAAAATGTGTTTTTGAGCACAGTCTCAATTTAAAAGTGTGTGGCAACGTGTTAATAGAGTCTTATCCTGAAAAGCATAGGTGTCATTTGTAGTATCTAACACATGACTAACAATTAGCCAGGTTGGGATGTTATTCTTTTTTAAGTTTTTTTATTTTAAATTGGTGTATATACACAATTTTTATACACTGTGTTTCACATTATCCTTCATTCAAATTGAATTTCATACAATCATTCTCATTCATTGTGTTTTGTAAAATTAATCACTATGGAAATATACCCACCATCAGCCTGTCTTTTTAGATCCTTTTGGAGGTTTCTACATCCTTTACCTGCTCTTTCCACCCACCAAATTGTGAAACTCTTTGATTTCCCCCCTGCTCATCCTGACCCCTCTACTCCCATCACTTCCGCTCCTTGGGGCTCCATACATGTTTCATTAGCTATCATTCTATTTTTATAATAGTAGTGTTACATAGTATTTGTCCTTATTGTTTTAACAACAACAAAAAATTAACTGCAATTTCCAAATTTTCCTTTCCAATTTTTCACAGCTTGAATTTAAAATTTTGAAAATATTGAAGTTTCATTTTGGACCTATTGGCAGAGATAGGCACCTTTTTGTCACTCTGTCCTATTGTGGTGACTTGTGTGCTGCTATGATGCTGGAAACTATGAAATCAACATTTTAAATACCAGGAAGGTCGGTCGAGCTGCAGAAGTGTCAGTGGAGCTTCCAGATTAAGTAAATATTTTTGCTGGTGAAAATCTTGTGAACCACAGCACAGCATTGTCTGATGTACTGACAAAGGATGAATCCTTTAAGTTGGAAGATGTTAAAAA